GTTTAATTTGTTATAATAAAATAAAATAGTATTTATATTAGAAATATTATAAAAACCTGGAAGCAAAGATATATACATAAAAATAATTACAACAAATATACAGATAAAAATATTTAGTATATTTCCACAAGTAATATACCTTGGTTAGAGTGCTAATTTGAATCTAATCACTTTATGAGAAGTTCTTTATATATCAATTTAAAATCAACAGTAACTAAAAGGCAACTGTAACTTTAGCTAGCTTAAAATCATAAAAAAAAAAAGAAAAAAATTATGGCAGAAATAGCTGTAAGTTGTTTGGTTAACACAATAATGTCAACAGAGATAGACCTGGCCTTTGTTGTGAATACAGGTGTCAAAACGTTGCTCACATTTCTATGAAGAAGTGAATTTTTACTTCAGTTTTAGTTAGCAGAGCAATGTTCCCAGACATAGTAATGGCTTTTGATAAAAATGCATCTAAAATACAGTCCGCAGCATAAACAAAGACATACTAAAAAAAAAAATCCCTTCAGATAATGACAGTGTTTGCTCACTGGGCAGCTCGCTGCTGCTGCTTGTGTAACTTGTCTACTCCGGGGCAGCTCGCTGCTGCTTGTGTAACTTGTCTACTCCACCTCACGCTATGTTGGTATGTTAGAATTAGACTGGTGCTTCTGTTCTTTATTTCCAGTAACACCGCACAGTCTACAGGTTGTTAAAGCATTAGACTCAAGACCATAATTGAGCTTTCCACATCTCCAAATCCCCATAATGGTAGGTAAACCCATGGCCCAAAGTCAGGTCTTCACTGCATCCCCTTGGATACAGCAGCAGAAAACTGCGAAGTGCTGAGCAACCAGTAAGGAGTGGTGGGAAAAAGCTCTCTCAAAACTCTCAAAACCTTCCCCTCCCCATCTCACCACAACAAAAGTTTGGCAGACGGACCGAGACTGTCAGCAAGACACAACATCTGTCTCACACTCACGCGGCGCTGAAAGGATTTCTGACGCATCAGAATTGAGAAATTCTTACCACGTTACTCGTCTTGTCCGGGCTTGACTGGTGGTCTGTGGCTGGTAGACAATGGTCAGCGTGTCCGTGACAGAGACAGCTGCCTTTGACAATAAAGTCGTATATGGCATAGTGCGCTGTGGGGAGCGAGGCCGCACCCAGATCTTTGTCCTGACAGGGGCACGGCTGCTGCTGAAGCAGACGGACCCTCAGGTTTGTGATCATGAGCTGGTCCCGTGCAGCTGCGCCGTAGGGATCCACCGACTGCCAGGGAGACAGGGCTCGATAGATGACCTGGAACATGAGTGACATGGACACCACTGTAATCGTAAAAATCAAATACATATTTGCAGCAAATATTTACACATCAAATGATTCCAAGGTTTCTGTTGTTGTTGCTGCGGCAAATTAAAAACAGACAGAGGTGGAAATTGTCTCTCGCTGCACTGAAACATCAAGACCTTGAACCCAGAGTGTTGTCTTCTGACTCCTGGATATTCTTCTTTAATGAAGTTAGACTCCATCACATCAGCGTACAGTGTTCCAGGAGGTTGCCTGAACACATCATGTTTACGGTGGATCGCATTCTAGAACGCACGGTCCGTCATCTGCAATGCACACAAACAGCTGCATCCTCTGTTTGCGCAGAAGAGAAACAGAGCCTTCGTGTACTGTTTCATGATGGATTTTTTTGTAAAATGACACTTTTGGTTGGGGACATGTCAACAATACGAGGATTTACCGTGAACTCGGTGCACTCGACAAACAAAAGCTACTGCTGCACAAAGAGAGCGAGTTGAAAGATTGGGTCTGTTACCTTTTATAAAAATTAAAAAAAAAAAAGCAAAACCTTAAAGTGAAGTCTCAGCGTTGTGTGCAACAGAGACATTCATTAAAATAGCGAGGGGCTTACGCACAGGTGAGGGGCTTTAGAGACACATAGCTGCTGCGGGTAAGCTTTAATTATCAGATTAGTCGTGAGCACACGGCAAACTCTCTCTGATATTCAACTACGGTCTCCCAATGTGGTCTGAACCATCGCCATCAGTCAGGCGGCGTGATCAACACCAGTGTTTCTACTGTATAATGTTAATCAATGACCAACGTTGTTTATTAAAAGACACACAGGAAGTTAACATTGGTCTCTAGTTTCGTCTTCTGCTTCAGAGAACTACAGAAAAAAAAAAAAATAGATCATGTTGTCATGTTGAAACCTTGTGATTTGACTGACAGATGGATCGTCCAGTGACAGCCTGGCAGCATGAGAAACTAAGATTAAATTAGCACATATATATCAATGACATGTGGCATCCAGTTATATTGGCCCTCCCACCTGTACTGTAACTATTTTTCAACTACTTCTGTGCAAATACCAATTTAAGCAAACGATTGAATTAAGGATCAGTTTACTCAGTTCAAAAAAATCAAACATCTGTTTATGAGTGGTAAGATAATAATAATAATAATAATAAGAGATTTGTAACACAATGGGGAATAAAAATATCACAGTGTGAGTACATAAGTATGTGGCTCAAAACCAGGACCTTCTGCGTGTAAGGCAGACGTGATAACCTCTACACTACAGAACCACAATGTCATGTTTTTGCAGAACTCGTCTTTGTGAGCAGTACAAATGTGAAGGTAAAACACCAGGATGTATTTTATGGATAAAGAAGAAAAAAGGAATTGTTTAGGGTTTTTTTGCTGTTTGTTCAGAGACAGGAACCACAATGTCATGTTTTTGCAGAACTCGTCTTTGTGAGCAGTACAAATGTGAAGGTAAAACACCAGGATGTATTTTATGGATAAAGAAGAAAAAAGGAATTGTTTTTTGCTGTTTGTTCAGAGACAGGATTGTTGAAACTGTTTCTCTGATTAATTAAACGTTCATTGATCAATCTCATGAACTCACCTCTCCTCTGGTACAAGGAAAAGCTCCTGAATACTTGGAGGTGCATGTTGCTCCACCCTCCTTGTCTGTAGTCTCCTCGGCCAGGCCAAACATCTGCTCACAGTCTTTGGCGTAGTATCTGAGGGTCTTCCATGTGCGCCCGTGATCCTGGGAGCGCTCCAGCACCATGGCAGCAGGGCGGGGGGATCGGAACACCAGGATGAGGTGAGTGAAAAGGAACTCAGTTTCCAGGTCCAGCTGCAGCATCTCCTCCTTCACTCCCTCTGCAGACTGCCACCAGGAGTCAGGGTGGAGGAAAGGGGAGTCTGTCATGGCAGACGCAGGGTGAGCCTGACCAGGAACGTCAGAGTTACACTTGCTGCATTTAATCAGTGAGCAGCTCTCTTTGCTGCGGGGCGCAAACGTCTGTCTGTAGAAGCAGTACAGCTCCGAGGAGTTGGCGCCGCACGTGGACTGGGTGCTCAGCACTCTGCCCTGAGACAAGTTACCCATGCGGGGGTTACAGGCTCTGCCTGAGCAGCTGCTCCCTGCAGCTGGGTCTTTGCCTACAGACATATCTGTGAATAAAAATTCAGATAAAAATCATTATAAAAATAAAAATGAGCAACTCTAGCTGCTGTGGAAATGCTACCTGCTCTATAGGGCAAATACTCTATACTAGCTATAAAACGCAAATCGACAACAATAACATGCTGCAAACCCAAAATGTTTTAAGAGTTTATTAAAATGGAATGGTTATTAAGTTTGTTTTTGTGAACTAAAAACAGTTAATGTTGAACAGAGGATAGCCATATTGAATCAAATCAATATTAGGTGGAACTGCCCTTTACTTCAAAACAACACCAGTTCCTCTGGGTACATTTGAACAAAGTTTTTTGAAGGAACTCTCCTGGTAGTAGGTGTTCCAAACATCTTGGAGAACTAACTAACTAACTACCTAACCTCCTACACAGCTAATTCTGATTCAGTTAATGGCGGTGTTTCGTCACTATATGGGAGAACATACATGAGATACATACATACATACAAGTACTAACCGTCTGATGAAAACTATTCTCGAATTTAACAGAGCTCACTGTCATTGTACAAATAGCACATGTCAATAACGTATTCTACTTTGATGCTATCGAAAGAATCTTGTTTTGGCATCTTGGTCTGGCAGAAAATGGGGGGTAACATAAAACCTGACCATGTCTTAAACAAAAATGTGGAATATGTGGAGAAGATATTCCACATTTTTGTTTCAATTAAGATAAAACTAGGAGAGAGAAACCAATCAAATTAGCAAATACATTTGAAATGAAACAGAAACAAACCCAATAACTGCGACAGCGGGTTTGTAGAAGGTACGAGAAACAAGAAAGTCAAACAGGTTCAAGCTTTTAGCTGGACAACACGTATCAATTATCGTTTTAACACACCGTGCCATTATTTGTTAAAAACAAAAAACAACAAAAACGACAATGGAATATGAATGTTTCAAACCCACCTGTTAAAAGAGGAGAAGATGTGCACAGCGGTAAAAGGGCGAGTAAAGTCCACAAAGTCATCCTGAATTATTTATTTCTGCTGCGGATTAATTAGGAGAAAGCGTTCAACAGTTGGTGTGACAGTGATCCAGGTACAAACGTTTCTTCTTGTGCTCAATCCAACAGCACACAAGGTCATAAAAATAAACCCACAACAAACTAAACAAAAGTAGAACAACGCAATAGGCAGGGGAAGAAAATAGTCAATCACAGCCCGTCGTTGTGGTAAATAACTTGTTTTATCCGTGAGTTCTGACGTCTTTATCCACACAAACACCACAGGCAGCAGCTTCACTGTGAGCAGGCGCTTCATTGACACATGGGAATATAAAGTGGGAGGCACCGCCCCCCTCTGGTCGTCTGTCCCCGAACACTCCTCCCTCCGATTCCTCACATACACGACTTCAAAAAGACGCTGGTTTTTTTTTGTTTTTTTTTACAGGCACGTTGTCACCTGACAATGTTCACTATCTGAAGAGGTCAGCTTTTAAAAATAACAACTTTAAACACTGACCAACGTTAATAATATATTTCAAGAGGTCAGCTTTTAAAAATAACTTAACACTGACCAACGTTAATAATATATTTAAGTCAATCTCTGACGCTGCATTTTGAAACGAATATCGTCTGAAAGATGATAAATAAACAAAATAGGAAAAATTACTTAGTGTCGAATTTAAAGTTTTTTCAGCCACCAGCCTTTGTAACAAATGAATGCGGCCATTAGACAAAGTATAAGTGTAGTAGAGTTTAGCAGTATATGTATACAGTATGCCTTTGTCAGGATGACATCTTTACTATGTACCTCATGGTTTTTCCAGCAGGTCAATGTCAGGCCTTATTCCACACAAATATTAAAACTATTGCTTCCTAGAGTTTTATTTCTAATGAGTCCTCTTGGTCTCTTAAAAAAATAGAAGATAATATAATATTTTTTGTTCTTTGGGGCAAATACATAAAGTATAACATGCAATACCAATGACGTTTCGTTTTAGAAAATGCCAAATGAAAACTACAAAACTTTTCCTGTTTTCTCTGGCAACCGTACTTTACAACCACGCAGCAACGTCCGTTTCCTGCACGCGTTCTACCCTCTCACCCTGGAGAAACCTTCATTATTGTTCGACTCATTTCTCAGACTGTAAAATATGCATGAATCACAGTGTCCAACATGGAGAACAAACAAACAATCACTGATCCAGTGACGACGCCTTTCTATTCACAGTGTCCAACATGGAGAAGAAACAAACAATCACCGATCCAGTTACGACGCCTTTCTCAAACCACCTCAGCCACTCACTGACAAGTTCATCATTGTTTTGCTTTCCTGCCACATTTCACCACTTATTTTTAACTGCCACTCATTAACCTCACTTTACTGCCCCCCATCAGACAGACAGAATACGGCCCACAACCTACAGGGTGACACAGCCTTTCACCTTAACAATCACCCGGTCGAACACCTTTTTTTTTTACCTCAGTGCTGACGTAAAGTCAGAGATGATTCAGAGACATTTCAACAAAGACATGATCTGGTCTGACGGAAGAGTTTTGGATGCTGTGACGGTCGGTTTGAAGACCGTCTTTGACAGGACCCCTATGTATCCCTGAGGTCAACGGTGATTTGTTCACACAGTGGATGCCATATGAGAGGCTGTGTGTTATGAATTACCCTGTCGTGTGTGCGTAGGTTCGTGTGTGTGCATGTCAAAGCAGGCGAAGAACACTCACAAGCATTCCCACTGTCTTCCCAAATACGTACCAGCCCTAAAGAATACGGACATTCCTGGAATACTACGACTCTTCTTCATCACAGTGGCGGCCTTTTCTGTTCAAAGGGGACTTGGTTCACATCTGTGTGTTTTTAGATTTGCATGGTTTAATTGGGTTGTCTCCAGACCATCTTGCAGGGGCAAGAGGTGAGACACGTTACGCTGTTTTCTCTCGCATGTTTCTCAACCCTAAAATCCCAGGAGTCACCATGAAAAATGCTGCAGGAAGGATGTCTAATCCTGGCCAGTCTGCGGTGTATTCCTCCGGCAGGATGAAAGTAAGACATACGACAAATGGATTTACAGGCTGGTAGTACAGCTGTCCACCGTCTTCTCTGTCGTACAACTTGACGTATTTGAGCAGAATCATTAAAAGAATACGGATGTGGGATCTTTTAGAAGATGAATGAAAATAGAATCATTAAAAGAATACCGTGGGATCTTTTAGAAGATGAATGAAAATTTAGCTTAGCCGCATGAGCACTGAGAGAAGGTGTGCAGTCAGAATGACTGATGAGTTTGTATGAGGGGAAAGAATGGATAGGGGGGGTTACCTGTATATTTGCCCTTGTCCTTACTGCCTGCTATGGTTATGGACAGGTTGGCAGGTTTGGTAAAGCAGGATGTTCCAGTATGGAGCGTGATATTGCACGACACAGTCAGGAAGATGAAGTTATCTGGTATGAAGAAAACAACACCAGTGAAGGTGGTTGGATGTAGTGAAGAGGATGAGAGGATGACTCGGTGGAGAGATTGTGCATTGACATATGATTACTACAAATACTCACAGTTTTGTCCAATGTTGTGGCTTTCTCACCGAGGAGACCGACGCTACAACAGACTCAGACCCAGCTCCAGCGCTTCTGTCTGGCTTTATTTCCAGACTGTAAAAGGATATGGTCACGGCCGCCAACTCTTCCATGTCACCTCGTACCTTCGGCTCACTGAACCGTCTCAGCCTCGGAGAGTAATAAGTTGACTCTCCTGTAAAAGCCAGACAAAAAGGCAGACGTGCTCCAGGCAAAGAGGGGGGCTTTATCACTGCTATCTGCCGTCTTGTTAGCAGACATAACATTACCCTCACCCACATTTCATTACGATGATCTAATCTGTAATGACAAAGAAATAAAAAAAAAAGCCGAGCCTCTGTTACAGCCACATCCAATGCAAATCGGTTAAAGACAGATGTATTTTCCATCTGAGATTTACACCTTTATCTTCTTATGTCACTTTTGACATCCTTGTCAACACAAGTCTGGAAGTGCAGCGATAGTGGAAATAAAGTGAAGAGCCATTTACATTTTTTGTTGAATTGATGCCAACATGGAAATCTCAAAAATGCGAGCAAAAAGGCAGCAGGGTCTGCCTCTGCTATGTGAGGAATGTCGGCTGCTTTTCCTGTTCCAGGCTCTATACGTCTATACCATGTTCGTGTACTGTACTAAAGGTTGGGGCGGCAACGTGTATGACATGCGTGACTATCCCGAAGTCCATGTTGTTTCTTCGGGTTGATTTGAACTTTAGGCAATATTGCCACCGTGTGGTGTAAATTGTATGCGCGTGAAATTAAGTGCCTCTTGTCAGTGGTCTGTCCTTTATAAAATATAAAATAAAGTAAAATAGACAAGGGTTCTTGCTGTTTCCATTATATGATAGCGATTTAATACAGATACAAGAAGAAGAAAAAAAACATATCTTGGACTCACCTCATACGTCCCTTCGATAGCTCAGTTGGTAGAGCGGAGGACTGTAGAGGTGTGACTGAAATCCTTAGGTCGCTGGTTCGAATCCGGCTCGAAGGAGACTAATTTTCACAAAAACACTCCATGTTTGTTGTTTTAATGACCTAGTCGTATTACAACATCCGTATGTTAGATACAGGTAAACGTCATCATGAATTCTCTTTCACTGTCCATCGTTCAAACTCAATAGCTCTTTACCTGCCGTCTTTTCAACTTCCTGTTCGATGTTAGATACAGGTAAACGTCATCGCGAATTCGAATTCGCCATCGTTCAAACTCAATAGCTCTCTACCTGCCGTCTTTTCAACTACCTATTCTTATTAGAAATTAAACAACGGCCTGAAAGTACTATTAGGTACACATTTAATGTACCTGTTCCATGATTTACCTACGCTGCTGCCTTGTTTTACATACATCTAATCCTGTAAACTCAGTTACAACTCATCACACGGTGGTTTCTATCGTACCTGTTCCATGATTTACAACTCATCACACGGTGGTTTCTATATACTATAACACAAATATTAATTTATTGTATCAGTTACCAATATAACATTACGTACCTAGCTTGTTTGCCTAGCATCAACTGCGTAAGCTGTGTTTTAGCCACCGCACGCTAGTACACAAAATGAGCGGCTTGTCAAAGGCAGCGTCCAACTTTTAGAGGCAATATAAAGTTTGCGACAGTAGGTGGTGTTTACCTTTTAAAGTTCGTCCTCGTCAGTGAAACTCGCACGTAACCTTGTTTGCACCTGCAACCTTGCTTCTTTTATACCTTTACCACAGATCTTAATCAAGCGTGAGTTGCATTACTGCCGCCTACTGGGTCAATTTTTACAACGACAACCAGATAGTTTTCAATAGAAACAGACATCAAGATGAAAAAAAAAAGAGGGAAAAATGTGTATTACAATTTAGATAAAAATAGTCCAAAGAACAGATTATCTTGCTGCTTAGGGATATTAAAACAATAAGAATAGTCCACTCCACTATCTCTACTGATATTTATAGGGCATAGACATGTCATGACATTATCACCTCATAGGACCTGAGCAGCAAAGAGGCCTTTTGGATTGTCTCACTCTGCACTTCCTTTTTTTCCTTTAACTCCAGCAAATGGTGTTTCACATCTTACAACATACATCATTAAAATATAATATCTTGGTTTAGGGTTAGGGTCATATCAATGTCAGCCGTAAGCACTTCTCCTGATGCCTTTCTTATTGTGATCCTATCAAGTCAGGTGTTATTATAATAAATGCATTTACATCCCACAAAAAGATCATCACATTTTAATCATTCGTCATTATTACAGCCTGTGTTCTTAACTTCTTGCTCTATTTTTCATTATTTTTATTTCACTTATTGGTAAATGTTGGTACTTTTTCATCTTTTCTGAATTCTAATTAATTCAACTCACTGGACTTGTCATATTATTTTACTTCTACTACTTTTTAAGCTGAATAAGAATAATAACTTACTTATGCCCAGTACGATATACTCGTACGTAGTGATTCTATAGATCTATAGATAGTTCAGTATTACTTTGTACTGATCTCAATTTTACTTCGCAATATTTTACCCCTCTCAGCACTAAGGTACTTTATTACAGAGTACAGACACATCGTAATGATTATGAAAAATATCAAGAAACACATTAGAAAAAAAATATTTTGGAATGCATTAATGACAAATCATATCCGATCTTTTTTTAATTAGGGCAAAACAGAAAACTGAGCATGTCTGCTAGTGTATTTTTGGACTTAGAAATGGCTGAGGTAGTCATGTCGCGTGAAAGGATTAATTGTTAGCTACATTCTTCAAGGGACAAAATAGTAAATAGAGTTCTATTATATAGAGTTTCGTGTCATTTTTGCTACTTCAAATTATTTATGTCTTGTCTATAAAACTGTTCACCTAAAGAAGCAAATAAACATTTTTATTAACATGATCCAAACGGTCGTCAACGTGAGGCTTCACTCAAGACGAACACGTTTCCTTGGCGATGCTGGAGGCTCCAGGGAGAAGGCGGTTGGAGAGACAGGACGGGACTCAGGGATGTACTCCGTCTCGTACTTCTCGATGTATGGCTTGGCCACTTGCCACACCTGAGGTAAATTTAAAAAAATAAATCATTCCTTAAATCCCTGATACATAGACCTGGACTTTTTGTTCATATAGCTTTCACTCCTCACGACTCAGCACTTGCCTTTTGGTCAATTATAAGACGGTGAGCCGCTTCAATGTCGGGAGACATGAATCTGTCTTTGATCCAAGGTCTGTTGATGACACGTGGGCAGAGACAAGACAGACCGACAGACAGACAGACGTGTATGTAAACATTAACCAAACTGTGCATCCTCTGACTGCACTGTTAGATCTGTACTTTAGGCCTCGTCTGTTTGACTTACTTGACCACACTGCGCACGAGTTCATAGACCTTCTCCAGGGGAGTGGTGGTACGGAGTGGGCGGAGGAACTCGATGCCCTGACAGGCTGCCAGCAGCTCTATAGCCAGAACTAAGCACACAGAACAACTGTAAATGGATTGTAGCGGTGATGAAGAAAACTACTTTTTCAACTGACGTGGTACGATGTTTCGTGTCACTGCTACTGCTGAGGTGACAAAAGACAATCGTACCGTAGGACGGAGAAACCACTGACTAAAATGTGTTGACTGGATGAAGTGTTTGATCCTGTAAATGCTGTCCTTGCTGTCCTACTTTCAAATATGTGATAGAAACAACAGCTCCGTTACAAAACAATTTGACAGGACGGAAAAGAATTCTTGATCGGTCTCTAATTTTCTATTTTTATCTTCCCAATGTTTATCCTTGTAGTTTTATTTGTCCCAGAGGGGAATTTATTTTCACATATTTGTACACACAGACCATAAAAGAGGGCTTTTCAAAGTCTAACATTGTGAACAAAAACCACAAAAACATTTTAATTTCCACGAAAAAAGAAACTGCCCCAAACTGTAAATCATTAAATCGCATAATGGTCAGACTTTCTCTGTCTAACTGTACGTGAAACAAATCCGCCCATTCTCTTGAACGTAAGTTAGTTAGCTAGTTTAGATGTATATATATATATATATATATATATATATGTATATATGTATTTTTACGTCAAATCTGACATTATTGTCTCAAGAATTTCAAAATTGTCCTCACAAATTTGCGTTTAGAGGAAATGTTTTGGTTTGAGTTTTTGAGGCTCGTACTTTTATGATTAATCCCTGGAGGAGCTTCAACTCTGTGTCAATGTTTGCTCATGTTGATCTTTGCACTTATTCATAACAGAAACAAACAATAACTGACCTCTCCGAGTCACGCGCCCTGTGACAATTCCAAAGCTCATGTTTTGTTTTGGGTTTTTTTTTTTTTCTCCTGTTATTCGTTTACCTACAGGTTGAATTAAAACTGAGGCCGACTCTTACCTTGCTCCACATGCTCTATGACCCTCAGGGCCTTCCTAGCAGCCCAACCTCCCATAGACACGTGGTCCTCTGTGGCAGCACTAGTGGACAAGGAGTCCACTGAGGATGGATGACATAAGACCTTGTTCTCTGAAACTAAACAGGGAGAAAAACAAAATTCAACATCAGACTAAGGTTGAACCAAGTGAATAGATATTTGTGTTAGTTTTCCTTAGAAATCCAATTTTTTTTTTTTTTTTACACCCACCCAATGCAGCAGCGGTGCAGTGGGCAATCATGAATCCTGAATTAAGTCCACCCTCATTGACGAGGAAGGCAGGCAGCTCACTCAGGGAGGGGTTACACAACCTCTCGATCCTTCTTTCACTGATAGAAGCCAGCTCATGGACGCCGATGGCTAAAAAGTCCAGAGCCTAGAAGGAAGAAACTGGTCAAAAGGGAGAGCGGAGACAAATCCACTTTGGATCCACAAATCTATGAAGGTTTTGTATGAGTCACAGACCTTTGCTGGATATTCTCCATGGAAGTTCCCACCTGAGATGGTCTCACCTCTTTCTGAGAACACCATCTTAGACAACTGTTAAGAAAACATGCCCGTCACACAATCAACACTTCAAAAGCACGCACATACATACACACACACGCTCATTTGGTCAAACCCACGACGCGTGTTTCAGGTGAAAGGATACAGGGTTGTCAGTAGCACTGTTGATCTCAGTGTTAATGATGTTCTGCGCAAACGTGATGGTGTCGTTGACGACTCCGTGGACCTGCGCACAGGAGGAGGATCTCGTGCTTAGAACACAGTCACCACATTACTCCATAAAAAGCCAAATGCTGATTCGGCACAATGTTTGGTGGGACTTGGAAACGCAATGTACATGTCGTTACCTGGGGACAGCATCGCAAAGTGTAGGCATCCTGGACTCGTTCACAGAAGCGATGGCTCTCTAGAAAAAAAAAAAAAAAAAAAAAATCACCCGAGAGCATCAGTTACTGGTCCATACATTTTGCGTAAAGAGCAGAACGTGGGAAAAAAAACGTTAAACATGTATTTTTGTGATTTTTTTTGTTTACCTATTTATGAACTGTTCTGGATATATTTTAACTTTTTTTTTTTTTTTCAAGTTTACCTATTTATGAACTAACCTCATCATGAGCTTTTCTGGATATATTTGAACTTTTTTTTTTTTTTGCTCAGAATGTCTTTCTTTCTTGGCTAACCTTCGGGTTCCTGCTGTCATTGCTGACTAGCCAAGACAATTTCCTAGCTTTTTTTTTCAGGTCACGTTAGCGTATTTTGCTACAATTTCGTCGAACATGAATTATATGGCACGTAACCGACCAACACTTGTGTTTGTCGTGTCAGACAATCACACGTGGTCGATGGCATCAGACATGGGAAGTTTGCATAGTATAGAGGACACGCCGCTTACTCAATATTTGCAAAAGTAATGAGAAATGTAGACACACACCTGCAATCTCTGAAGGATGGTGATCAGAGTCCAGCAGTGAGCGGAAGCGTTGGGCCACTTCTATCTGTCCAGGGTGGGGCCGCAACCTGTGGATGTCTACGACCAAGCAAAATGAAAGTAAAAAAAAAAAGAATAGGTGAGATCATTAAAGGAGGAGAATGTTTCAGTTTTGTTGGAGAAAATCTCACCGCTGTCAAAAGCTTTGGTGGTTCCCTTTAGCACCTCCAGGGTGAGAGCAGCGATGATGTCGGCCTGTCGGGCGATGGCCTGAGCTCGCTCCACGGCCTCTGCCCCCAGGGAGGTGATCATCTGAGTCCCATTGATCAGAGCAATGCCCTGTAGGGAACACACAGGTCCATTAAAAAAAACAACCTTGTTCAATACTTTGTTAGTTGATCATCCATTAGCTGCCGTCCATCTTGGATATTAAATAATTACAGCCTCTCCTTATCCAACTCTTTTATTTTTTTGGAGCTCTGGGCCAGTACTTGGTGGTTGTGGTACATAAAGCGTCATGGTAGAGCAGGGGTATCAAACTAAATGGAAAATGCAAGACTGTAGATCAGGGGTTCCCAAACCCAACCCCTGGTCCGTGGACCAGTACCAGTCCATAGGACGCAGTGATAAAATGTGCTTAATTTTTACTAATTTACTTGATTCAAAAAAGTCCAGTCATATCCATTTACTTTCTTTATTTAAAGATAATCTGAAAATATTTTAAAACAATAGGTCATTCAGATCTTTGATACAAACCAAATAGATTCTAAAAGATGATTCTTCAATGCTCGGCACTTTGCTACCTTAGAATAAAAAAGGTTGAGGACCGCTGGTATAGAAGTAACTACTTCAAAACAGCCTAACACATGTTTCTGCAATTGATTCAATATTATACAAATATTGTTTATTGCTGTGTAATAAAAAAAATCTTTTAATTTCTCAGGTTAAGAAACTCTCCTGCATGGACTTTACTAAATGCTTTTTAAGCTCCCGCGGGCCACACAAAATGGCTTGGGGGGCCGCTTTTGGCCCCCGGGCCTTGAGTTTGACACGTATGTGGTAGAGGATGTGACCACCTGATACTAAGCTAGTGCTGAGTTTGTGTGTGTGTGTGTGTTTTTAAACATTACCTCTTTAGGCTTGAGTGATATTGGCTTCAGTCCATGGGCCTCCAGGACCTGGCCAAACATTAAAGTAGAAAAGAGAGACAAAGGTTTAAGGGTCACTGAAAGGTAAACATGTTTGTCCATTGGCCCCTGCGGCCCTTTCTGTCTCTGACAAACAAAAGGTGGTTTTATTTCAGAGTCGAGCGTGATCTTACATATTTGGCGTCAGCCCATCCACTCTTTGGAGACCACATTTTTCCTTCTCCCATCAGCCCCAGGGCCAGGTGAGAGAGGGGTGCCAGGTCTCCACTAGCACCCACTGTCCCCTTCTGTGGGACGAAGGACAGGCAGGAAGCTGCCAGACGAACACGTGTTAGTATAGCTGAGAAACAGACTTCATCGTGATCATTTCTGACGCGTGAAAGCAGCATCTTATCTGAATCTACATAATTCAGATTAGAGGGAAATTCAACGTTGTACCGTTAAAAGCTTGGATCATGGCGTGAAGTGTTTCCAGAGAAATCCCACTGTGTCCTTTGGCCATAACGTTGATTCTCAGAGCCAGCAGCATACGGGTCCTCTCTGGGCTTAGCGGATTTCCAACACCTGCACGATCCAACAGATCATTGATAAGTAAAAAAAAAAAAAAGAAATAGACACGCTAGTAAAAAATATTTTAAAATAAACAAAATTAAATACCTGCTGAATGTGATCGTATCAAATTCTCCTGCAGCTCCCTGTAGGTAAAAGGTCAAAATCATGAATCCTGATTTTCAACTATAGCCTTATTAAAATACAGTCATGATGATCTTTACTTGAGCTTGTTGATCGGGATGACAGTTCTGGCAAATTTGCCAAAACCAGTTGTGATTCCATAGACAACTGACGGCACAAACAGAGATAGAGAGGAGTGAATATGTTTTGGGGGTTTTTTTGTGTGTTGATTTGTTGAGGAGATGGTAATCACTTTAAATCAATTTTTAACCTCTGTTTTCTTTGACAATAGTGTCCAAAAGTTCCCTGGATTGCACAACTTTGGTCTCAGCCTCTGGAGTCAGCTGAAAACGTAGTGGCGTGGAGAGATTAGGATAGCATTAAATCAAAGACGACCAGATTAGCGCTGAAAAACAGCAACATGTGTCAACCGCTAGCCAACCTTTATCTTGTAGAGTCCTCTGCCCAAGTTGACCAAATCTGTGGATGTCAGGCTGTTGCCATCCAGCGCAATATACTGCAAAGGGTTGGCAAAGAGAAATCATTCAGCACCTTGCCATAGGAAATATTTTAGTTCGTTCTGGTAGACAAAAGCAGACGCTTACTTCTTGAGGTTCTTTGTAGGCCGCTGTACTGTATAGGACGATATAATTAAGGAAATTCAGGTAAATTGAACATTTGGATAAAAACAATTTCTTTTTTTTGTTTTGTTTAGGATACAGAAGCTAGAGTAACTGTATTCTGGCTTTTAACTAAATTTCAATACCAGTTCAAGACTTTGATTTTGCCTTGCCTTCACTACTGTTTTAAGATCATCTTGGTGGCTAATAGAAGCCAAACAACAAACTATAACTTTGTATAGTGGAGTAGAGGATACTAACATGAAAAATGTGGAAACTTAAATTAATATGGCACACTTTAAGGTTTAAGGATACAGGTGAGACACTCCCGGCTCACATGGGATGAAGTCAGGAGACATGGTATCCCCTTCGATTGCTGAAAAATACAAAACAATTGTTTGTTTAAAAAAAATAAACACAAATATGTTTAATTAATATGTTAGAATTTCAGACTTATTATTCACATTCCGACTTCAGCAACTATATTGACCTACAGTATGAGATAAAGCCCCAGAAATTGTCTAAATTGCGTATCAAGGTCCTTAAAACGTGTGCGTAATTACGCACAACTTACGTAAAGCTATGATCAAAACGCCAGTCCGTTACACTGTTACAGTTATGCACTTGTAAAATAAAACGTTTCCTACACGAGAACGCAGTCATTACCAAGTTCAACAAAGTCATTGTCCTCCAGGACATCTTCAATGGTGTCATCCGCGTCCAACAAACCCAAACCCTGGCACCTGCGCACCACGAAGCGAGTGTCCTTCACCGCCGTGATGCCCCCGTTGTCCGGTTTGTTTTTAATGTAACGTTTCAGCGCCTCGTACGCCAGCCACTGGATGGTCTTGGAGGTGTCCCGGCACGGTACGGCCAGCCATTCATCTCGGATGTGGACGGTGAAACGAGGCATTGCTACTGAGTTGGTTTGCGCTGCACTGAGGGATGAGTACTGTTCAGTCAGATAAATGGCACAACCATCAGCCGCGTTCACGTTCACCACCAATCACGGGGCCCGCACGGGGCCCCGCCCTCGCCTCGACCGGTGTCACAACTCTGCGGGACCACTGACCTCCACGGGTTAGCAGCACACATTTGACCACACTGACCCGCATGCGTTCAGGTGATCAAACGACCATGGCTACTAACAATATCAGCGTGTGTAATCTTTAAAAACACACAAACAAACGTGGGCAGGTGGGTCAGTGAGCTGGAACTAAGGGAAATCTGGGATCCAGTTGCTTCGGTATCATCTCTGCATCAACTCCTGTCAGGTTTGTGTCCTAACATAGTCACTCCAAAAACCACAGTTGTTACTGCTCAACAGCCAGACCACAAAAACCACAGTTGTTACTGCTCAACAGCTTAGATATACAAAAACGTATTAATGCAAACCTAAACTGATGGGAAAACAAAACAAGTGAAAAACATGGCTCTAAGGGATCTGCACCTTTAACAAATGTTGTAATTATACATCTGTTGAATCTCTGAACGCATGTATACAGTATATAACACAGCCGGGTCTTTATCTTTCAAGTACTAATTTACTAATTCGATCAATCAGTTCAATAACGTACGAAAAGGTTTTGTCACTTTTATCAGCAGCCACTTGCATCACAGACTGCAACA